TATAAATCCTCATCAATCTACACACAATACCCCATAAAGACAATTTGAAAACAGTGTTTTAGAAGTAAAAAACAGAAATACCTTATTTACATAAGGATTCAGACCCTTTGCTATGAGACTCGAAATTGAGCTCAGGTGCATCCTGTTTCCATTGATCATCCTTGAGATGTTTCTACAACTTCATTGGAGTCCACCTGTTGTAAATTGAATAGATTGGACATGATTTGGAAAGGCACACACCTGTCTATATAAGGTCCCACAGTTGACAGTGCATGTCAGAGCAAAAACCAAGCCATGAGGTCGAAGGAATTGTCCGTAGAGCTCCGAGACAGGATTGTGTCGAGGCACAGATCTGGGGAAAGGTACCAACACATTTCTGCAGCATTGAAGGTCCCCAAGAACACAGTGGCCTCCATCATTCTTAAATGGAAGAAGTTTGGAACCACCAAGACTCTTCCTAGAGCTGGCCGCCCAGCCAAACTGAGCAATCAGGGGAGAAGGGCATTGGTCAAGGAGGTGAACAAGAACCCGATGGTCACTCTGACAGAGCTCCAGAGTTCCTCTGTGGAGATGGGAGAACCTTCCAGAAGGACAACCATCTCTGCAGCACTCCACCAATCAGGACTTTATGGTAGAGTGGCCAGACGGAAGCCACTCCTCAGTAAAAGGCACATGACATCCCACTTGGAGTTTGCCAAAAGGCACCTAAAGGACTGACCATGAGAAACCAGATTCTCTGGTCTGATGAAACCAAGATTGAACTCTTTGGCCTGAATGTCAAGCGTCACGTCTGGAGGAAACCTGGCACAGTGGTGGAAGCATGGTGGTGGCAGCATCATGCTGTGTTTTTCAGCAGCAGCGACTGGGAGACTAGTCAGGATCGAGGGAATGATGAATGGAGCAAAGTACAGAGATATCCTTGATGAAAACCTGCTCCAGAGCGCTCAGGACCTCAGACTGGGGTGAAGGTTCACCTTCCAACAGGACAATGACCCTAAGCACACAAACAAGACAACGCAGGACAAAGGAGATAATCGTGGACTACAGGAAAAAAAAGAGGACTGAGCACGCCCCCATTCTCATCAACGGGGCTGTAGTGGAACAGGTTGAGAGCTTCAAGTACTTGGTGTTCACATCACCAACAAACTATCATGGTCCAAACACACCAAGACAGTCGTGAAGAGGGCACGACAAAGCCTATTCCCCCTCAGGAGACTGAAAAGATTTGGCATGTGTCCTCAGATCCTCAAAAGGTTATACAGCTGCACCATCGAGAGCATCCTGACTGGTTGCATCACCGCCTGGTATGGCAACTGCTCGGCCTCCGACCGCAAGGCACTACAGAGGGTAGTGTGTACGGCCCAGTACATCACTGGGGCCAAGCTTCCTGCCATCCAGGACCTCTATACCAGGCGGTGTCAGATGAAGGCCCTCAAAATTGTCAAAGACTCCAGCCACCCTAGTCATAGACCGTTCTCTCTGCTACCGCACGGCAAGCGGTACCAGAGCGCCAAGTCTAGGTCCAAAAGGCTTCTCAACAGCTTCTACCCCCAAGCGATAAGACTCCTGAACAGCTAATCATGGCTACCCGGACTATTTGCACTGCCCCCCCACCCCCACCCCATCCCCCTCTTTTACGCTGCTGCTACTCTGTTTATTATTTATGCATAGTCACTTTAACTCTACCCACATGTACATATTACCTCAATTACCTCGACTAGCCACATTGACTCTGCACCGGTACCCCCCCTGTATATAGCCTCCCTACTGTTATTTTACTGCTGCTCTTTAGTTATTTGCTTTTATTCTTATTTTGATTTAGATTGTTTTATGCATTGTTGGTTAATTAAGCATTTCACTGTAATGTCTACACCTGTTGTATTCGGCGCATGTGGCAAATACCATTTTATTTGATTTGATTTTGAGGAGTGGCTTTGGGACAAGTTTCTGAATGTCCTTGAGTGGCCCAGCCAGAGCCCGGACTTGAACCCTATCTGGAGAGACCTGAAAATAGCTGTGCAGCGACGCTCCCCATCCAACCTGACAGAACTTGAGAGGATCTGCAGAGAAGAATGGGCCTCCACAAATACAGGTGTGCCAAGCCTGTATCGTCATACCCAAGAAGACTGGAGGATGTAATCACTGCCAAAGGTGCTTCAACAAAGTACTGAGTAAATGTGATATTTCAGTTTCTTTCTTTTTTTTTATACATTTGCAAAAATTTATAAAAATCAGTTTTTGCTTTGTCATTATGGGGTATTGTGTGTAGGTTGATGATGGGAAAAAACAATTTAATCCATTTTAGAATAAGGCTGTAACGTAACAAAATGTGGAAAAAGTCAAGGGGTCTGAATACTTGTTTTAAATATATAGTACAAATCGGCTTTTAAATGATTTGTGAAGCACCTACTGTATGTAGCCCTATAATGGGTTCATGAAGGCTTTGTTAAGCCTTTAAAGTTGTTCATTTAAGGTGGGTCCAGAAACACTAAGGATGAGCATGACAGAAATTAAAGGGGTAATGGTGATTTTTTAAATGATTTTATTAGCCTGGTCCAGTTACCTGGGATGTAATCATGAAAATGTGTGTGAGAGGAACACAAATACTCTGCCCACATCGACACGGTGGTAACAGAGCAAAATAAAAAAAGACAACATACACGACATGTCGGACATGACTTCTATGAAATGAACATGTGAATCACCACTTTAATGGAGAAAAAAAATCAAATACAAATAATAGAATCTTGATACTAAACATCAAATAATCCTTCTAATCTTTACCCAATAAATACACCTTGGGGTTACATGACTGACTGACTGTCTGTCTACAGGAGAATTGCACAGACTCCAGTTATAGTTCGACTATCACATACATTCTCACTTTACAAACAGATATACACATTACACCAACACAGTGTCACACAGGTCCATTAATCTCACACTCCTTGCCATACACACCGAACGTACAAACCCATTGTCACGCTTTCATTTCATAAATGCTGCTTTAGAGACAACATTTTTAAATCAGATCTCCATTTTAAATCTGTCATAACGACAGGAACGTTTTGTTGTTGTTGTTGTTGGAGGCAGTTTGTGATTTGAACAACATGAGAGATGACAGCTGATTGGCCTACATCAGCTGATGTAATGCTAAATGAAGCCAAGACGAGATCAGAACCCACTAGTTCCTACAGGTTACACCAGAAACAACATGGTTTGTGTTCCAAATGGCACCCTATGGGGTCATGTGGTCTAGGCCTAGGTTTCCCCAAAACCCCATATAGTACCACACCATACCCTGCAGAGGGACCGAATTAGGGCTGATACAGTCCTGATTATCCTTCATTCACAGGTAACATATACTGTGTGTGTGTGTGTGTGTTTCTCAAATAACACAGTTTGTTCATTTTTGTCCTTCTGGGTTTATTTCTCAGATTGTGGAGAGTTCGCTAAGTCTCTTGTCAGACAGTTTTTCTTCTCTTTCACTCACTGGCCGCTCTTCTCTCAAACACACACACCTCGTTAATGGTAAAGCAGCAGGCTAGCTTATTAATAGTTGAACTTGTTTGTACAAATCATTGTCAAAAATGAAAGTAATCAGCAATAAACAGCATTCATATATATTACATTGTCATTCATTTTAGTTTCTTTTTTTCTCTTACTGTGAATCCAGGGTAACGCTAAACAGAGTATAAAGTCCTCCTTCATTTTTTCCAGTATCATTCATCAAGATAATCATGTATAACGCTATTTTCATTCCTCCTCTCGTACTGAAATAGGAAATAAAGCAAGGCCGAAGCGATTCACTCAGCACATGTCAAAAGTAGTGGTGTAAAAAAAAAACATCCAGATGTCTACAGCTGAAGTAGAGTTGGAGCTGGGCGGAGTCCTTCATAACGCTCTGACTGACAGCCATGGCAGCCCCTCAAGAGTGCTAGAGCCCTCGGTGGACCCGCCCAATACAGTACCTCCCAGTCCTCGACTGGCCAATGAAAACACACCCGGGGGAGCCGAGTGGTTCGGGTGCGCCCTACATTAATGAGAGAGCATTTTGCTAAGTCTGATTTCTTTCAGCTTGGGTTCTTCTGTCCCGTCTGCACGGAGAGGCAGCAGATGGGAGGAGAAAGAGCCCCGGAATTAAAGAAAAAGAAAGGAGGTCAGATGAAAGAAGAGAAAAAGAGAGAGAAAGAGAGGGGGAGATTGCGAGTCTGTTCCCCCCATGTTCTGTTCAGAGAGCTGCGGTAGTGTGTGAGATGTTCCCTCTCACGCTCACCACTGAGTGCTTAAAGTCACAATGGATGACTGTGGACGGGGTTAGTCAAGGGGAGGCAGTGGGAAGGCAGGGGGGAGTCAGAGGGAGGTGGGGGAGGCCTGGGGGAGAAGGGAAGGCAGCAGGAGTCTGGGGAGAGGCCCTGGGGTGAGAGGTCCAGTAGGGTGGGAAGAACCCATGTTAATTCCAGTCCTATCACAACATTATTATTATTTGACAATCTAAGTAGATCAGTCTGGGGGGGGGGCAATCAGAGGCCCCTATGGGGTGTAGTGTGTGACAGACAGGGCCCTATGAATGGCTTTAGTAGTAGTGATCATCTGTAGCTGGCCCCCTTGACACATGACATGTACCACAGAGCTGATAAGGGTCATATTCATTAGTGCACACCGTAGCAAAACATTTTGCAACGAAAAACGACCCAGGTTGGTCTTAAAGGGGCAGAGACCATCCGGTTGGACAGGCTTAAAGGGGCAGGTGGTTTGTATATGTCTGGCACCAGTGTAATTTATTCCTTTCAGATCCCTCCACTGGTCTACCTGACCAGCCTACTGAACTAAAGCAGTCTCCAAATCAACAGCCAACACTGGACAGTGCCAATATAAGAGAAGGGAGGGGGGAAGAGGGTGGTGGGTGGGGGAGAGGAGGGGCCCCTGATTTACATATGTCCGCGAACCTTCCTCCCCCCCCGCCAACCACCTCCTCCATCATTGAGATGTTCTCGTTATTATTTGGGGGTCCCCAACTTCTTGGGGGTGCCCGGGCGTTTGCTCTGCCACAGGTGCCCGGGGATGGTGAAGGCATCGACGCTCATAGACATGGTCTTGGACGGGATGGTGGTGAATTGTTTGCGGTCCGAGCTATACTTGTAGATGGACTCCACCATGGCGGGGCTGATGACGCGTGGCCCAATGCCCGTGAGGCGCACCATCTCCTCGGTCTCTAGGTCCATGGTGTAGACGGCCCGGAACTGACAACTGGAGTCACGGAAGAGGATGAGGAAGTGGTTGGCCTGGCACTTCTCCATCTCCTGAACCATAGAAGGAGAGGGGGAGGTAAAACAATGTTAAAAACGCTTTAACAATGACACAATTCAATACAAATCGTGAGTGAGTGAGCTTTGGCAATGTAAACGTATGTTTCCCATGCCAATAAAGCCCTTTGAATTTAAGTGAATTGAGAGAGAGAGAGTGACAAAGCGAGAGAGAGACAGAGAGAGAGAAATAGAAAGAGAGATTGAGAGACCGAGAGAGAAATAGAAAGAGAGAGATAGCGAGTGCGAGAGAGAGAGGTGAACGGGATATGAACAGTGGCAGTGGGGAGCCTCCAACCAGGTAGACTGTGACAGCCAGTCCAGCCTAACCAGCCAGTGGAGCGGAGAGGGGGTTAGCAAGGTTGTTGATTTAAAGGGCTCTAACGGGGTTGTTGTTTGCATCTCAAATGGCACCCTATTCCCTTTGTAGTGCACTATAATGGAATATGGTGGTGCCATTTACATTTAAGTCATTTTCAGAGCGACTAACAGTTAGTGCATACATTTTTTTTTTTTTCATACTGGTCCCCCGTGGGATGCACACATTGATTTAAAAGGATCTAAGGCGAGTTGTTGATTTAAAGAGTTCTGACCTCTACAATCTTGTTTTTCTGCGGTTCGTTGACCTTGCCGGCAAGGCAGCAGCGGGAGATAGCGTTGTGGATGATGAACTTGTTGGACTTGAAGCTGGGCTCCTTGTACAGCTTGGGCCCTGGAAGCCAACACAAATATCACAAATCAACACAAATCACATGCCATAGATCAATGACCAAGTACGTTCCCATACAGACTTTCTGTTAACATGTGGTGGATTGGTTCAAACAGATACTTATGATGACATCGTATTCTCAGTATAGGCTCTGTTTCAATATCCACACTAGCATTCCACTTGGACAGACTACGTAAACATAAATAGTATCGTAGATCTGTAATGATACAACGGGATGCGTGAGACAACGAGCAGCATTAGTTCCAGTGCTTTGGACAAATCCCCATTTTGCAGGTCTTAGCATCTTACGAAATTCGGACAGATAGGGGACATGGGGCCCGTAACTTGCAAAGAGAGAGGGTGGAGCTCTTCGTTCCAGTTCTCATTCTAGCTCTTCTCGTACGGACCTAGAACTTAAATCGAGCATCTGACAAATTACACAATACTTTAGTTCTGGGTTAAGTGAGATTATTGATGAATGCTAGTGTGGATATTATTGGAACAAGAGGGACCTAGAGATGATGTCACAGTCATGGACCCAGAGTGATGGTTAACAGTGAGCTGTAACGTAGGGTTAAAGGTAAACGTACCGGTGTATTCTGGGATGGAGGCGGGAGACGAGGCCGTGGAGGCGTTCTCCCAGTCCTTCTCTCCGTTCTGATTGGCCATTCGTCCTGGTGACATCAGCCTCGAGGGGGAGTGAGATCGGCTGTAAGGAAAGCATAGACAGACATTGAATCACACATTTGTTTTAAAAATAGGCCAATAATAAGGACGGAAGGGGGGCATAGTCAGGCAGCTGTATTTGATGATTCATTCAGTAGCTGCAGGTCTCTATGCATGGGAAATACAACTCATTACGGTTAACCATAGCTACCTGTGCGGTAAAATACAGCTCGTTATTGTTGACAGTTACCTGGGAGATTTCCTGACGGTCAGCGTCCCGCTGTTGCCAGTGTCGTTAGCCATTGAGGACAGGTTCATGGTAGAGTGGGAATATACCTTGTTGAGTTTGGAGCCTAGAGAGAGAGAAACAAACACACAGAGAAAAGCACATTAATATGACATAGCAATCTTCTGAGATACGCAGCACAACTGCAAATGAAACCCGACCTGGAACGCCCCCAGACTCAGCGATGGGAGAGATGGGGGTGGAGTTTATATTTACCCATGAATCCCTTGGCGGGGCTGCGGGAAAGCACTGAGTCGTCCCGGAACATGGTCTTGGGTCTCTGCTTCTTCACGCCGCGCACCGTGGTGGGCTTCTGCCGCAACACCTTGTCCAGATCCTCCATGATCTTCAGCTGCTGCCTCCGCTCGTACTCCTGCCTGGTGAAGGTGTCTCTCCGCTGGGTCGTGCTATCTGAAGGGGGGGTACCGGGGGGCCGGAGCCGGTCCTCACCACCACCACCACCACCACTCTTGTCTCCCCAGCCCTCGATGTTAAACCACTCGGGTCGGCTATAGGTATAGAGAGAGGGGAGGAGGGGGGGGTTAACCAATGAATCAATCAAATCAATGAATTATTCAAATTATTCAAATCAATCACATTATTATACAACAACAAGAAACATAAGCAGCTCCATTAGTTTATTCAGAGTCGGCTGTTGGACAACACAGTACTGTAAGTGGATTGAAAACGCAACGCACATCGCATGCTCCTTCTCCTTCTTCTCCTCCTGCTCCAGCCTGCGTCTCTTCATCTCCTCCGCCCTCTTCTGCTGTTTCTGCATCAGGGCTGCTTTCCTCTGGGCCATCTCGTCCTCCGGCCGCACCTTGTCATCCTGATGACGGACACACGCACACAGATACAGGATTAGTCAGGCTTAACCTCATACTCAGACAGACAGACACAGACAGACAAACGCACACAGTCGACTAACCTTAAAGAAGAAGCCGACCCCTCCCTTCATCTCAGGTTCGGTCACGTCGCTCATGGAGTCGTCCATGACACTCAGGTCGTCCCCGTCCCTGTCCAAGGCCGATAGAGAAATCTCGATCAGGCTGCTGCGCTTGCCATTAAACACCCCCGCTGCCGGAACGTCACTTTCAAACGAGCACTCCGAGGGCGCCCCCGAGCTCCCACCACCCCCACGCTCCTTTCTCCCCGAGGCCTGAGATGTGGCGGCATCCAGGTCCATGCTGAAGATGCTCTGGTCCTCGTTCGAGCCGGCATCTGACATGTTGTCATCCAGGGCCAGCGACAGCGCCCGGGGGGTGGGGGTTGGGGAGGGGATGTGGGTTGGGGTGGAGGCAGGGCTGGGGGCAGAGCTGATGTTGAAGGTGGAGGAGTTCTGGTCTCTGCACTGCCAGGGGGAGGCGCGGCGCAGGTGGGGGATAGTGTCCACGTTCTGCGGGGGGGTGAGCACGCGCGACAGGCCCGGCACTTTGAGATCCTGGGGGCGGGCGTGGTGGTAGTGGGTGGCCTGGTGCTTGGGGCTCTTGGGAGGCACCGACTGGGCCCGGCGATGGACCTGAGGCGACTTGGGTGTTCTGGCGGGACTGGCGGCGTTGCGGCGGGATGACGAGGTGGGAAGAGGAGGCGGAGGCAAGGTTGCGAGGGGTGGACGCGCGGGACATGCGGGTCGGGGGAGATGCTGAGGATTTGAGACTGGGCGGGATCACCCAGGACTTGTTGCCGGCGGGAGTGGCGGGCTTCTTCCTGATGAGTTGGTTTCTGTTGTTCTGAGAGGCGCTGCATGTCGCTCTGCAGAGAGCTTAGCGCCGCGTTCAGCTTTGATACAGCGTTGTTGTAGTCCCCCAAGGGCGCTGGCTGATGCACTACCACCCCGGCCTTCTGTCCTCCTGACCCGGCCGCCCCTGCACCCTTCTCTCCCTGCACACCTTCTCTACCTGCCCTGTCCTTGGGTAAGGAGGCCTGCTTGTTGTCCAGGTATGTTGAAGGTTTGACGTTCCCCTCCTGCTCCACTGAGGGGCGCCGTTTCTCCTGCTGCTGCGCCTCCTGCTGCTCCTCGTCCTCCATGTGAGCCAGCCTTTCCTCTAGCGTCAGCCCCCTGAGGTCCTCCTCTGTGGAGGAGGCGCTAACCTGGCCCTCCTCCTCCTCTCCCTCCCCCTGCTCCTTCTTCAGCTGCAGGAAGGCGCTCTTGCCCAGTCTCTGGCGGTGCTTAGCGAAGATGGCCTCAATACGTTTCTTCTGGGCCTCGATGGCCTTCCTCTTCTCCTCCAGCCGGGCTCCCAGCTCGGACATCTCGGTGGTCAGTCCAGGGCTCTTACTGGGGCTCTCCTCCGTCGACTTCTGTGGCTGGGCCGCCCAGCTGGTCATCGACGCCGTCGCTGCCGGGGCGACAGGTTCGCTGCTGCTGGCGCCGTCACTTTTAGTGGATTCGCCCACTGTCGACGGTTTCTTCTTGCGCTCAGCAAAGCTGGTCATCCTCACGCCGCTGTCCTGGGCGTCGTCCCCCCCTCCTCGGCCTCTGGTGTGGACATCAGGCGTGGCAGGGGTGGACTGGGCATTGGGGAGGAGGAGGAGGTCCTCAGAGGCGTCAGAGTCCACGCTCCCGTCCCTCAGCACCGAGTCGTCGTCCCGCGAGCCCTCTGAGGTGTGTCGGGTGCGGGAGGAGGGGGTAGAGGAGGGCTGCTCCTTGGGTGTCTGCATTTTGCCCCCCATGGGGAGATGGGGGTGGTACATCATCCCAGAGCGGGACGGGGCGGAGCAGCTGAGGGGTACGGGGTTAAGCGGGTGGGAGGGGTGAGGGGCGCGGCCATTGTGTCTGGCGCTGGCCGGGTCATCGGGCGAATGCAGGAAGAATCCGTCGGCTGCCCCGTCGGGGTGCAGCCGGGGTTCCATCTTGCCCTCGTTGTGGATGATCTGCAGGGCCTCCTCGATGGTGGGCAGCTCCCCCTCCCCCTCTCCCTCTCCCTCTCCCAGGCCGTTCTCCTTCAGCAGCATGGGCACCACGGAGGAGCTCTGGGTGGCCCAGGATGGTCTGTGGGAGCCGGGGGTGGCGGGGGGCTTGCTAAGCAGGTGACTAAGGTCCTCTGGGGGGGTGTAGGGCACGCGGGTCATGGTCTGGCCGGGGGCCACGTTGTCAGAGCTGACCGAGCGGGTGATGGCGCCTCCCATCACGATGTCCACGTCGCTGTCCATGCCGAAGGGAATGCTAAAGGACACGGCCGAGGACAGGGGACGACTGGACGGAGACAGAGAGACGGACAGAGATAGATGGAGACGGAGGGAGACAGTGAGAGAGTTTACTTGCTGAATGACTTAATTGAAATAGAATTTACTCCAAACTTTGTATTGAGATACAACTGAAATATGGAGCTAACAACACACACGAAGAGACAGACAGAGAGACAGATGGGGCCTACCTGAAAGGCTTCTTGGTCCATGTTCTCCCAGCTCCCTCTACATGAGACATGGAGGCAGACTGAGTCAGAGACCCTGCACACATTCACACAGTAATCAACACAGACAGACAGAGACAGACAGACACCACAAAAGACACAAGTCAGGGCATACAAAGATGCACAAACACACAGATTAACAGACAGACAGAAAAACCTTTACATGGACCCACTGGTAAACAAACGCGGACAACACAGTTATAAAAGATGCAATGGCATCCTCACTAGACCTGGGTGCAAACTCAAGTATCTGTTTTCCCTCAAATACTTTGAGGAGCATTTGATTGAGCATGCCTGCCTGGAGTCTCAGATTAACAGGGTTTGCACTTTTGGGACTATTCCATTTCTTTCCATTGCTTTCATTGTGTCAATCAATCAAGCACAGCTACAGTGTTGTAAATAAAACAAATACTATTTGAACCCAGAGAACAGAAGTGGGACAGACGTAAATGATGGGATGACGTCGCCCTGCTCTCACCTGGCACAGGCCCTGGCGACACTGGCGAGGAGATGGGCAGGAACGGCTTCTTGAAGATGGATGGAGAGCCGCTGAAATACAGACAAACATTTTGTTTCAAGATCAAGTTTCAAGTTTAAGTTGATTTGCCATATGTAATAAATACTGTACATTGGAAATCTACTCTCACTCACCAGAGCTCTCACAATAAAAAAACTTTCACTCAAAAGATACCATTCCTGAAATAGATCACTTTTTATTTTCTATAACAGATCAGAGCTGCTGTACCTGTTATTGCTCAAACTGGTTGGCTTGATCGGTGCAGAAGCATCTGGAATAAAATAAACAGTCTCATGAGTCAAACATCGATACTGCCATTTAGGCCTACACAGGAATCACATATCAGACTAGGACTTGAATGTATCAAGCATCTGAAATGTAGGAGTACTGATTTAGGATCAGTTTAGCCTTTTAGATCACAATGAATAAGATTATATGGACAGGGAAGACCTGATCCTAGATCAGCACTCCTGCTCGGAGTCGCTATATGAATATAGGCCCAGGGGTGTATTGCAGATATAAATGTAATAACTAGAGCTGACATAATTCCTTATTCTACTTGACAAACCATCATATTTGTTCTATAGGACACATTTCTATGTGAGTTTTGTAACATTGCATCCTCCTGAACAGGGCCCGGCACAAACACTTACCAGTGGTGTTCAGTGGCTGAACAAACTCTGGCCTCCGTACCTCAAACCAACACAGCAGCTCTGCTAGGAAACTCATCATGTTGACCTGAACATACCAGAGAAACAGTTAAAGGACCCATGTAATGCTGTTTCGATCTCCATAACAAATCATTCCTGGGTATCAATAAAGTTTCATGCTCTACTAGTTCTATTACATGTACGGCATCCAGCTCCAGTTGGTCAAACACTCTCTGTATAAGACAGTCTAGGCAGAGCCATATATTTCTAAATAAATGGCTCTGAGGGCAAGACACTGTGTAGATCAGGGCTCTCCAACCCTGTTTCTGGAGCGCTACCCTCCTGTTGGTTTTTACTCCAACCCTAGTCTAGCACACCTAATAATAAGCTAAATGAATCAGGTTAGTTACAACAGGGGTTGGAGCAAAAACCTACAGGAGGGTAGCTCTCCGGGAAAAGGGTTGTTGTAGAGCCGACTAGGTGAAAAATCTGTCGATGTGCCCTTGAGCAAGGCCCTTAACCCTAATTGCTCCTGTAAGTCGCTCTGGATAAGAGCGTCTGCTAAATGACTAAAATGTAAATGTAAATGTAGATGTGGCTATATGGGCCCCATAGTGAGGTGTGGATGTAGTACCTGGAGCTCCAGTGGGGTGTAGAGCAGGTCCTCCAACACCAGGGGACAGCAGCTCTTCAGACAGCTGTCACAGAACTCTCGGATCAGCTGCAGGTTGTACAGGCTGTCTGCCACCGCCACGGACTCCTTCATACACACGTCTGAAGAAGAAAACAAGGACTTTATTGTCCAAAAATACACGGCGGTCCGCTTTATCCCAACCCTTCCGAAAGTCACACATACAGGTTGGAGGCTAGAGCAGAGGGAAGCCATATTGTGGCACCCATTTAACACAGGAATGGTACAATGAGCAGGTAGTCAGGCCATGGAGTATTTCATATAAACATCTAACACAGGACAATGAGCAGGTAGTACAGGAAGTGGAATGACACACTGCACACAGTAATACAATATGTTACTGTATTAAAGAAAGTGTGGTTTAAACCTAAATGGAACCTTGTGTGACATAGTAAGCTAGGCTTTTTAGACAAACCCCCAGGCATGAACTACATTATATTCGACAACTAGTCCACTGTTTTTAATTTGTATTTGCATATCAAATACTGTCATGTAAATTTTTTATCATGTGGTTTTACCCTCTAGTCGCAACAGGCCGGGGCAATAGTAGTGTATAACAGAAGCGATGGCACAACCATTGGAGAGGTCTTTGACTTCAGTCACCACCGGAAACGTAGGCTTCTGTTTAGAAAGTGTCTTGTCCTTTCTGTAGCGGATCTTAGAAGGGGTAAGAAAGAGGGGGGGGGGGGGGAGAGGAGGAGTGAGAGAGAGAGAGAGAGAGAAAGAGGGAGAGAGAGAGAGGGAGGAGGGAGGGAGAAGAGAGGCTAGGGGGGGTGGGGGTCGACGATATCTCTCTCTTCTCTCTCTCTTCTCTCTCTCGCTTCGCTCTCTCTGCGCTCTCTCTCTCTCTCTCTTCTCTCTTCTCTTCTCCTCTCGTCGCTCTCTCTCTCTCGCTCTACTCTCGCGCTCTCTCTCTCTCTCTCTCTACCTCTCTCCTCTCTCGCTCCTCTCTCTCTCTCCTCTCTCTCTCGCTCTCTCCTCTCTCTCTCTCCATCGCGCTCTCTCTCTCTCTCTCTCCGCTCTCTCTCTCTCGCTCTCTCTCTCTCTCTCTGCTCTCTCTCCGCTCTCTCTCAGCTTCCTTCCCTTGTGTATGGGAGAGTTGGGGAGATGTCCAGGCTTTACAGTTCAATGCAATACCTTTGATGTTTGCATTTGGAGAGCTCGTTCAAGGCCAATGTTCTTCAAAAACACAGGTGGACATACAGCACAAACAGTACATACAGACATCCATACAAACAACACCCATCAGGCTGGAGGATAACGTGACCAACAACGTGCTCCTAGAGAAAAGACAGAATCAAGGGGTGGAGGTGGAGAGAGAGAGAGAACAGATAACATGCCATGGAAGTGAAGAGAAAGGTGCAGCCAACCAGTCAGCAGAAGCCATAGGGAGAGAGAGAGAATGGCTGTGTCCCAAATGGCACCCTACTCCCTATCTAGTGCACGACTCTCGACTAGGGCTCTGTTCAAAGGGAATAGGGTGCCATTTTGGACGTAACCATAGAATGAGTCCAGAGACAGCGAGGGCTTTGTCAGTGGAAAGTAGGCCAGGAGAGAGAGTCTCATCGGAGGAGGATATTTAACCCAACCTTACGCAGGTGAGACTATTCAGGTTGAGACTATTCAGGTTTTAGACAACGACTGAACTGAACACAGCCAGCACAGTGTCAACACTATCAGCAGACTGTAATACCTGGGGTCTGTTCAGGAGAGTGTAATGTTACACAACAGTCCCAAATCAGATAAAAACGTATCATGTAAAACAGCTATGATTATACGCCATGTTAGAATTGGGAATCTATGTCAGATCTACTTGTTATATCTGCACTGTTCATAATGTAGGCTGTTTCACCTCACATAAAAGGCCTACACCTCAAACTCATTACTTCTTAATCTATGGGCCCTGGCTAAAGGTAATCCAACAAATAGGGAATACGGTGCCATTTGGGACTCAAGACAATGACTGGCTAGTGGCTAGAAACTAAAACCTCCCTCACACAAGGTCCTTTTTAAGACAGAGCCGACTAGAGGGACTGGTTTCTAGTACATTTCTAGATTCCTGAGTGGATTACATGTGATTTACGTCCAACAATACCCTACCCCTCTTGTGACATCAGCCCAAGGAAATGTACAGCGTATAGTCCGAGTGCAGAGCAGAGCAGCAGTATGTCTGCATTCTTATATTGTACCAACAGGGGGAGAGGAAGAGCGAGAAAAACAGAACAGACCTTTAATTTGAAAATCTAATAAGAGAGAGAATATGAAGATGCAGAGAAGGATGGAGAGAAAGATAAGGAAGGGATGATGCAACAGAGGAGGAGAAGAAAGAGGAGGAACTTACAGGGACAAGTTTCCAGTACCAGCGAGTGGGACACTGTCAGAGAGGAGGAAGGAGGGAAGGAAGGAAAGGAGGACAGAGAAAGAGAGGAAAGTGGGAAAGGAGAAGACAGGAGGAGAGGATACTGTCGGTATTAAGGCTACTTTAGAAGGATAGCTAAGAGGAAAAATACAGTTTTGAAAAGGGTATATATCGCCTAAAAATTATACAACCAGTAAACGTTATGTTAAGATACTGGTAACTGCCAAAATAAAGGAAACACTTGAGTAAATGAGGGATAAAGCAATTAAAACATCCCATCATGCTTAGGGTCATGTATAAAAATGCCCGGTTGCCCATTATTTTGGCTATCATGGCTAGAAGATATCGCAGTGACTTTGAAAGAGGGGTCTCAAAGGAGCATATGGGATTTAAAGGGTGTGTCTCAGTCACCAGATCTCAACCCAATTGAACACTTATGGGAGATTCTGGAGCGGTGCCTGAGACAGCGTTTTCCACCAGCATCAACAAAACACCAAATTATGGAATTTCTTGTGGAAGAATGGTGTCGCCTCCCTCCAAACTTCTAGGATCTATGCCAAGGCGCATTGAAGCTGTTTTGGCGGCTCAACGCTGTGTTTCCTTTATTTTGGTAGTTACCTGTACAAGCACCAGGGTACTAGGGAGATTGCATGTACAAAGGGAAGGGAATGGGGGATACCTAGTCAGTTGTACAACTGAATGCATTTAACCCAACCCTACCAATGTATCTGTCAAGACAAAGTTTAAATATCTTACATGCACACACTGTATATAACATGCTTGTTCACAGGAAATGTTTACGTCAGAATGTTTTAATTATATGTAATCCATGAGATCCACAATGTGTTGTGTAATGTGAGAGCTGTTGACATAAATACTGTATGCATCCTAAATGGCACTAAATGGCCCATAGGGCTCTATATAGATGCACTATATAGGGAATAGGGTGCCATTCTGGACAGACACTGTGTAGTGTAATACTTACTGAAGGCTGGACAGGCTGTGGCTCTGTGCTGTCCTGAGATGGGTCACCCTGTGCACCCTCTGTTTGCTCTCGCAGCCTCTGATTCAACTGGGGGTTGAAATGGGGTGGTGGAAAGCCATATGTTATAAGTATGTATATTATGTACTCACATATACATTTGGTTATGAAATCATGACTCAGCGACAGAGAGAGACCGAGAGAGACACAGACAGAGACAGATCCAGACAGAGAGACACAGACAGAGACAGATCCAGACAGAGAGACACAGACAGAGACAGATCCAGACAGAGAGACACAGACAGAGACAGATCCAGACAGAGAGACACAGACAGAGACAGATCCAGACAGAGAGACACAGACAGAGACAGATCCAGACAGAGAGACACAGACAGAGACAGATCCAGACAGAGAGACACAGACAGAGACAGATCCAGACAGAGAGACACAGACAGAGACAGATCCAGACAGAGAGACACAGACAGAGACAGATCCAGACAGAGACACAGACAGAGACAGATCCAGACAGAGAGACACAGACAGAGACAGATCCAGACAGAGAGACACAGACAGAGACAGATCCATACAGAGAGTGAGTCCTCCCTGTCCGTGTCCTTACCCCGTTCACCCAGTGGAGCAGGGTGTCCTCCCAGCTAGCTCCTCCCACTCCACCCAGAAGCTCCTCCCCCGCCGCCGCACCGGACATCCTCACTGCGTTCACCGTCTCCATGGCGCCCACCGACATCAGGGCATCCATCACCGCCAGGTGGGCACTCTGCACCAATCACAGCAAAGAGAACAGGAAACCATCAGCATTGGAAAAGTCAGGGGAGATAGCTGCGGGATTGGCTGGCCGGCCACCAAACCCAGACGACATTTATTACAGCATCCATCAATTATGGCTAATGCAATAATGGTGGGCAGCAGCACTGACATTCAGGGTGTCCCCCAAATGACACCCTATTCCCTATATCGTGCACTACTTTTGACCAGAGCCCATAGGGTTGTATCAAAGGCCCTGTTCAATGTAGTGCACTATGTAGGGAATAGGGTGCCATTTGGGCCTCAGACTGCTCTGAAAAGAGCATGGTCCATGTTAATGTGGCAGAGCTAGTGAGACGAGATCACGTCAGGCTGCAGTATGGCAGGTTCTCAGGTCAATACCACATCCAGCCACTAGGGGACTCCAAGAACCACAGCTCTGAGTCAGCAGAAAGCGTGGTGGTGACCACACCAGAGAGAGAAAAGAGAGAGAGAGCAGAAGAGAGAGCAGAAGAGAGAGAGAGACAAAAGAGAGCAGAAGAGAGAAAGATAAATACAAAAATAGAAAGAAGCGAGAGAGCTTGTCTGAGTGAACTTTGGGACATCTGTGCTATCAGGATAACAGCCCTTTTAACTCTGTGTACTTTCTCCTCTCTGCCCCTTCACTGTATACTTTCTCTCTTTCTTCCTCCTCCTAGTCAATCCCTCTACCTACTCTTTGTCCTTCTCCCTCTTCCTCCTCTCTGCTATAAGATACGGCAGCATGACTCATGGATGACAGGTTGTGTACAGTGTCTCTCTAGGGCTGCGCAGGATACAGTTCGCTTCTGTACAGCGTTGTTCTGTAATCAACTCACTAGGGATGGATCAGTCAGAGAGCAGCACAAACCCCAGGAATCCTGTGGCGCAGTGTGTGTGTGTGTGTGTATACACACAGAGGAACTAGAATGTGTGTGTAAAACTATTCACTCAAAACCCCTTCTTTCACACCAACACAACATACAGTATCAATTTACACAACATAAAAGAGCACAACAATAGCTTCCCCTATCCCATCCCAAACTGAAACTGGGGTATTTCCAGCCAACCCCCAGTGCAGGGCACATTCTCTTTCTCTCATAGCCCAAAATCATGACCGTGCCTTTTCTCAAAGATAGCTAGAGGCCAGGTACCTTTTCTCATACCTAAAGGCACTAATAGGTTTGGCTTTCTCATGGCCAAATCCATTACATTGCGTTCTCATACCCCGAGCCCATTAAAACACACCAACAACATGATCAGCTCACTCAGAGGAGAGCTCGTTAGCTCCCATAAGAGGGTTAAGCTCGTTATCAGTCTACTGTTGCCTCCCGCCATGCTGACCATGGGGCTAGGGGTCAGGAATGGGCAACTTTGATTGGGTAGGGGCCCAAAGAAATCTGAACTCATCATGAGGGGTCTGCGTACCCACATCAACCCTGTTTTAGAGTTAATTTTGTGAAATTCTACACATTTTGCCATGGGTTGTAGAGAAAATGTTGCATTTTTAAAGCAAGTTTGCTATAATTCTACACATTCTGCCATGGGGCGGAGAGAAGATTTAGCAATTTTATAACTCATTTCATGCAATTGTATCCTCGTTTTGCAATAGGGTGGAGAGAAATATTTGTAGTTTTTTATATGATATCTGAGTGAGACTAACAAAATCAATGGGGGCCCCCCAACCGGTAATTCAACCATGATAACAAGTTTAAGTAGCTGGCCACTAATCTAATTTAGCAATCTAAAAATGTTTAACTGACATGGGCTAATTGACTGACTATTGGTGACTGACATAAGGAAAACTCCTGATTTTGATGAGAAATTGATCCGAGGGCCTTCAAAAGGCCGCCAGTTGCCCATCCCTGCTCTAAGTCTACACCTGCACACTGTGACTGGAACATACAGTATAATGTACATGCTTCTTCTCATACAGTGTTTCCCTTAACATAATACAAATTAGGGGAAAGACTGATCTCTGCCTCTAGGCATATAACGGTGGGGCTGAGGAGGAGTGAGGTAAGAGTATTTATGAACATTCAAATTGGACAAAACAAACAACTAAAGCGATAAGGTAATGCCTGCTTACTGTTAGCTGCTCCCATAAGTGTTCTTTTAGTTTGGTTTAACCAGGCTTGTTTTCCTTTGGACTGGCTGTCCAACTGACAGACACCAGGTGCTGCCGCCACAAGTGTTCTTTAATAAACATTTTAGTGGCACCCACGCACGAACACACACCAGGTTCTGAGAACTGGGCCTACAGGTACATGTAATCTCCACTGCTCCCCACCGGAGACTAGAACAGCCTTTGACCCAGTTAGTAAAGTCTAGAACTGCTCTTAGACACACCAAATCAAGGCCATGCAGTGAAGGACAACGTAAGTTAGTGAGTCTGGAGGGTTGTTTTAAATAAGTGCTCTTAGGGTTTTCAGTAGGTTTCAAGGACAAAGACAGAAAAACTAAACAGACAGACAGCAGGGCCGACAGATAGCTGGGCAAACAGACAGCAGGGCAAACAGACAGCATGGCAGACAGACAGACAGAAAAACTGACAGTTCAGTGTGCAGACAGCCAGGCAGGCAGGCAATGTTCGTCTAGCTTGGTAAGCGCAGCGTTCAGTCTGGTTTTATCCAGGTTAGGTTTCCTTTATCCTAGCTGTCCAACTGAATGACACCAGGGGCTCCTGCCCTGAAGGCCTGTACTCATTAAGTGTTTCAGAGCAGGAGTGCTGATCTAGGATCAGTTTAGCCTTTTATGCCTGGTATATGCTCATTCTAAGGATCCACATCACTGCAGAGACAGAGACCGGAGCTGAGGACAGAGACGGGGGCTGAGGACAGAGACGGGGGCTGAGGACAGAGACGGGGGCTGAGGACAGAGACGGGGGCTGAGGACAGAGACGGGGGCTGAGGACAGAGACGGGGGCTGAGGACAGAGACGGGGGCTGAGGACAGAGACGGGGGCTGAGGACAGAGACGGGGGCTGAGGACAGAGACGGGGGCTGAGGGCAGAGACAGCGGCTGAGGGCAGAGACAGCGGCTGAGGGCAGAGACAGCGGCTGAGGGGAAAAATGGAGACGGGCTGAGGACAGAGACGGGCTGAGGACAGAGACGGGCTGAGGACAGAGACGGGCTGAGGGGAGAGACTGAGACGGGCTGAGGACAGAGACGGGCTGAGGACAGAGACAGAGACGGGCTGAGGACAGAGACCGGGGCTGAGGACTAATGTGTAGCTAAGATAATTTTACTGCGGTCATTTACTTGACTGTAACAGTTGCTTCTCGTCTGCCCCTTGTACATGAATCTACCACTCTGAGCAATGATGATTCTATCTCTTTGTCTCCCCCTCTATCAGTGTCAGTTTCACATAACTCACAACAAAATCGTCCCAAAATGGTACCCTATTCCCCAAAAAGTGCACTGCTTTTGACCTGGGGCTGGGCGATATGGCCAAAATATCATATCACAATATTTTCACATTTTCTACGGTATTTGATGATTTTGAATAGTAAAAGTTCTAAAATTTGCGTTATGAGTAGTTCATGACCCTAGGGTGGCAACACATACGTTATAAGTGATTTCAATGGGTCTTTCTCCATTCAAATTGTTTTATACTGTTCAATCCAACTTCCAACAATAAATATCTTCTGCATTTTCTACAATTTCTGCACTTCTGTTATCACATATTCATGCTTCACCTATTCCTCTCTGATTTAGAAGATACCGTTGCACAAACAACATGCTAAGCCTGCACCAGCACTGGTCCCAGGCTGTATTAGTTATCTGCGTTTGCTCTGACTCTTCGTTCATTAGCAAGCTAGCTAATGTTAGCTAGCTAACTAGCGATTAGCATTAGAGGATAACAATTTATTTTAGTCACAGCTTGCTAAGAAAAGACAAAACTAGCAGACAGTAGTTTGCAGACAGTAAAATACACAAACTAATAGTGTTATAGAATGCTAGAGTGAACGGCAAGAAATTGCTTGTGACTCCGTGGTCGAGCAACTGCTCTCTCCTTGCATGACAGGGGGCAGGGTTTGGTGTAGGGGAAGCGGCATACAGCAGGAGGTGAGGGAGAAAGACGACTCAAGTATCAAACAGAGTAAACTATAAAAAACGGGCATTACGCGCCGGAGTTGCATATAACGTTTAAAAAAACAACAACATTGAAATACCGTTATAGAAGGTAAAGTAAAAACCCAAACTGGTCCGTGCATCAATACAGTTATATGTAAAATATGGTATACCGCCCAGGTATAAGGTATAGTGCACTATATAGGGAATAGTAAAAGTAGTGCATTTTACAGGGAAATAGGGTTCTATTTGGGACACACCCTGTGCCTGACATGAATCCTCACAGCAGCAACATACCAGCAGCGGGCCTCCTCCCTTCTCTCTATTGGCTAACCACAGCCCCCTCTCTCTGTTAGAATCATTAACCCTGACTGAGTCCCAAATGACACACTATTCCCTATATAGAGCACTACTTTTGACCAAAGACCAATGGGGCCTGGTCAAAAGTAGAGCAATGGCGAGGACAGACAGGTTATATCAACACATTCCCTTGTCAGGGGGGCCCTTTCTTCCACCTCAATCCCCCTCTAGTCTGATCCTAATCGGTACTAACCAGTGCCGGGCCCCTTTTACTTGTTGTTTTACTCCTACTTTTGTTACTCAAATTCTCCCTGACTGGTAGTCATCATAGCACACACGGACACACTGCTGCTGCTACAAGGCTGCGGCCTGAATCTCTCCACCCAACTGCCGTTCGGTCTGTCTGTCTCTCCATGCTGGGTGTGAAGTGCTGACGTCGGCACAGTGCTGCGTGTGCGAGCGTGAGTGAGAGAGAGAGAGAGAGAAAGAGGGAGAGAGAGAGACTAGAAAGAGAGAGGGACTAGAGACTACATGGCAGCGTAGCCCTGCTGTCAGATACCACTACCTAGGGAGGGAGGGAGGGTGCTGGGCACTGGGAGGGATGGCTGGGCTCTCCCCCTCC